TCCTCCGTGGTCTCGTCACCCGCTGGATCTTCAACTTCCGCACAAAAGCCACGCCCATGGACCGCGAGGCCCGCACCGACAACAACTGGCAGCAATGGGACCTCTCGAGCTCCTCGGCCGGCGACAGCCGCTACACGCGCCGCAACTCTAAGAAAAGCGTCAAAGTCCGCATGTTCAACAAGATCCTCCCTTGCATCCAAGACGACTTCTCCAGCAGCCTCGCCACGCGCACCTCGACCTCAGGCTCCCCTTCTACCACCAACAAACCTGGAGCAACAACCCACATCACCGAATGCAAGAAACCCCGTCTCCCCAGCAAAATCGTCACCTCCAACCCCCCAAAACGCACCTACTTCTCCCGCCCCTCGCGCCGCAACAGCCAAGACCGCTACGCCGCAGCAAGCAACTGCGAAAAGGGCGACGCCAACATCCTCGAGTCTGTCCGTAGCGTAGGCAGCAGTCTCGAATCCGCTCCTACCCTCGTCGACAGCAAGTACGGCAGAGGAAGCATGGGCTGCAAGAGCCTGGAACTCGAGTCGCCGCCTGTCAGCCCCACAACGGTGGTGCCTGGCGGCAGAAGGTACTCGGCTGCTACCCTCTTGCATAGTCCCATTACGCCGCTTTCGCCGGTTCGGTTGCGCGGGATTGGGGATGCGGGCGAGTATGACGAGGATGAGGAGGATGAGGAAGAAGGGATTTATCCGTATCACCCGAGGACGAGGAGTTGGGGTGGAGAGCAGCGTAGGTTATGAGATTTATGATATCCCCCTCCGTTCTTTGTTTTGTCTTTCTTTTTGTTCACTTTTGGGCTACGCAGGGAAGTATATGGGGGGAGTTTCTTGTAATGATACCATGTCACACTTTTTTTTTCTATCTTCATGCGACAAAAGGGTTTTGGGCTTTTTTTTTCCCCGTTACGATCGCTTTTGAGCTGGGGCGGGTGGGTGCCGCATGCGGCCTGGCAAAGGGAAGGTTGGTTGGTTGGTTGGTTGGTCGTTTGTTATATACCACACCACTACGACATGGAGAGTGTTGAACACCACAGAGGAGAGAAGCATTATGCAGTGCATACCCTACTACCTCTTTTTTCCCTTCCTTTTTTTTCGCTTCACTGTTTATGCTTTTTTTTTAAACGGCCCAAACCTACCCTTACCACATATATACATATATTTTTTGTAAGAAAAATCAGAAACAATTCAACATTCGCCACCCTCTACTTTCTTTTGCCCTTGTACAACATCATTTCTTCTTCGTAACTACATACTACGTACCAACGAGCCCATCAGACAGAACACCCACCCACCCACCCCTCTTCTTCGATCCTTTCCTTCCCCCCCCCCTCCTCCGAAACCCACGCGATCCCAAAAAGCCATCCCCACATATATCCACGTAACCCCCCTGAAACACGCCTGTCCCATATCGCCCCGTCACACCGGGTCCCCTTTCCCACACTTTCCTTGCTTCCCGCCAACGCCTCGTGTTGTTCTCATGTTCTTGTTGCTTGTCGCTTCCCTCACCCCCCCTTTGATGTCAGTGGCGGGGATGGGGGGAAGGGAGGGGAAGGATACCGAGCCGGTGAGTTTTTACCAGGGGGTGGTCCGCGGGAAGGGGAGGAAAGTGGGTACCCCGATGGAAGGATATGGGATGGTTTGCGAGAGAGAGAAAGGCGGAGCGGAATGGGGGTGTGCGCGCGCGCGTATAGTTTACTTACTTACTTTACTCATCTATATTGTGAAGCAGAAGGGTGGAGGTTTTGGGAAGTTGGATGGGAAGTGATGGGAGTGATGTCACTATGATAGCTACGTTTTGGACTTTTTTTTTTACGATACTTGGCGGTTGTTGGTTCTTCTCTGTGGATACATTCTTACTTGCAGAGGAGATACTAAAGTTTCAGTCGGGAAATTTTATATTATTTTGAGGGTTGCTTTTTTTTCCATCTCGTAAACTTTTATTGCAAAATCTTATCGAACCATCTTTTACACCTTTTAGACTTCCGTCCGAGGAAGTATGTGTGCGCGCGACTTTTTTTGTTTAAAATGAAGGGGATGACGTAGAAGGGAAAGGGGGGGGGCTATAGGTGGTTGCTGTTAAGAAGAAAGGGTTAAGATTACTGTGTGCAAAGTACGTAGATCCTACGCATTACTAGGGGGTCCCATTGCGGTAATTTTATATTTCCACAAACGGCGGGAGGGAAACGTAGGTTTCCTTGTCTTAATAGGTCGGCGTATAGAATGGGCGGATGAAGCGAGACGACATTGCTTTCTTACTCGCCCTTCTTTACTTACTGTGTACATGTTCTTCTCCGGCGCACGTATGCGTTGGTGGTTGCGGTGGTCATGACAAAGTTGGAGTCGGAGATTAGATCGTTACGATTAGATTCGGAGATGAAAAAATAAGTTGGAGGCCCGGAGAGGTTCTGGAACTTGGAGCTTATGGATCGGGTTGTGGGTACAGCATGTGGAAGTGGGGACGTTGAGGAATCATCGACATTGCGCGTTTGTGGAAATGGGATATTGGATGATCAGGCTGCTGGTGCTTCAGATGTTCGTATCGGTTCGGTCTTACTTTTTCTTTTCCTTTATCTTTTCTTTTTCTGGGCCCCGGCCGTTGCACTAACACAAGTGTGAGACTTGCACTGCCTGTCTTGGACTTACACCTGTTACTGTTTTGATGCTAGGGTCGGCCTAAGAAATACCAAGAGTGCAGTGTGGACTGCGCTTACGAGCATGCTGCCTGCTGACGTGGTCCGATCGGACTGTTTCTACTTGTTGTGTCCAAGAAGAGAAATGTCCTTGGCTACTTTCCCACTAGTAAACATGGCGGTTTGAGAGAAAAGATAAGCAAGAATTGAGTAGCCAACCGTGTCGCAACGAAAGACGTAGTAAGTGTAAGCAAGTACAATGCAAGGCATACTCGGGCGTCAAAGGGCCGACCAGAGCTCGTGTTCCATATTAGGACGTGGAGATCTACGTAGGGTATCCGCACCAGTACCGTGTTGCGAGCTAGGCACTGGGGCTTTTGGCACAGTTTCAGGATTTCTCAACATTGCCCATGGTGTCGTTCCTTGGTGGTTCGGTTTCGGTACTGAGGCCAGGTCTCGGTGGATTTATGTAACAAAGTTGCGGCGCCTATTCGCTCTTTCTTGTTTCGTTGACGGCTGTCAGACGTCAACCTGGGGCTGTTGGGCCAGCGGGTGCAGGCGGAACCGTTTGCCAACCTTGTCCGGACATACGTCGATATGAAGGCCTTGCATCGTCGTCGTCGGCTGTTGGTGTTGTCGGCGTCTGTCGGAGTATCCACGTAGGTACGTACCTACTATGCCGGCAGCGGCCATCCGGTTGCAACGAGTAAGTATCACAAATGTAACAAAAGTGTCCCAGCAAGGCAGTCGGTTAGTAGCAAATACGAAGATCAATCTAGCGCGGGAGTGTACGTATACGCGACGCCTAGTACAAGTCACACACACACACACACACACACACACACACACACACACACACACACACACACACACAAGTGTCCAGATGTAGTGTGATGATGAGCTGAGCATAAGAAGAGGTGTCGTCGCGTAGGTCGGTCGAAGCGACCAAGTAGGCAATTGGTGTGCATAGCGAAGGTCAAATTTCCCCCTTCCCTTTGCGCCCTTGTTCCAGTCGACATCCTACTGTCCCAACACCTGCCACACACGCACACATGTACACACACACTCACACACTCACTCACACACACACACACACAAGTACGTTGCGCACCTGCATAATTGCACGGGATAATGCGCTCCCGCACATCCAGTGGCAAAAAGAGAAATACTCGCACATCACCAGCCATGTGCGCGTGTGCCCCTCGTTCTTCTCCACATTGTTTTTCCGTTGCCACGTTGGGCGACGATTAATATATTCGAGGCTGCACTACCCCTGCTCCACGGCTCATATGGATAATTTAACTGCCCACCCATTCAAGGCCGCGCGCATTCGCATCGGGCGAGCAAAAAGGCAGTCTTTTTGCGAGGCTAATGGCAAGGGCACTGCCCTGGACGTGTTAGTCCTCTGTGCTTACTTGTCAATCTGCCTAAATGATGTGGTTTTTGTGGTGTAGTGCTACAACAGTCACCACGCTACTATGTCCCTTAGCGCTCGCGTGAGTGCTTTTGCCGTATGTGAACTAATGGGTTTTTGCTTACTTTTTGCATTTACATAAAATCCGGGGAACCTCTTCTTTTGGGGAAGTGGCCGCGGCTTCAGCAGTCATTAGAGTTCAGCGACGGGAACCAGGGTAAATCGCAATAAAGTGATTTGCATCCTGTTGATCCGGCGTGGAGTATTGGCTGACGGCCAGCTGCTCAAGGTGTATTGGAATGCCTGGATCATTGTATCCACTGGACCAACCAGCTGGCGTCCCAGCAAGCCACTTCACCGTTTCCCACAGATACTGCCCCACTAGTTCTCGTCCGATATCACACCAGGATCTGCGTACAAGGCATATATTCATGCTTAGAAGTAGAGGCGTGACTGAACATGGAGTAGTTTGAGTGGTCAAGAACAAAGTGATCATCATTCTCACGAGAGCACTGAACGCTCCAAAGGCTAAATGTGGTCCATATACCGGCAACCACTAATGATAAAAAGCTTTCCAAACACCAATATGCAGATCAATCGTAATAGCGTACATGTCATCTTTTTTACATACACCCTTTCCATTGGTGGCCAGATGATGCTAGACTGAGAGAGAAAAAAACCGGGGAAAAGCCACTTATGCATCAGCACATCACCGGCGACTCCGAGTCCTGAGCGAGTCCGGTCTGAACACGGAGGGTGGGCGTGTCAATGCGGGTATTTTATCGGGTAGGGTATCCATGCATGAAATGGGCTTGTCCTTTCTTTGTCATCTGACGATGCCATCAGTCCCGGCTTCGAGAGGGCAAAGGAGGGCAAGCGAAATGAACAGAGTGACGGATCGTAGGCGGGCCGCAGGAACGTGACGCGCAGGGAACATGGCCGATGCTATACGGATATTAGGGCTAGCATCGTGGCGGCAACGAGAGCCATAGTATGAGGCAGACTAGGGCTGAGACTGTGGGCGGCGGAAGTCGACTCGCCCGAAGCAAGCCGTTTGTCGTCGTTGCGCACACAGTTGCTCTTGGCTGTAATCTCGGCTGGGCACACAACACGCTTGAAATTGGCGCTGTGCAATGTTAGTACTGGGCTGCATGGTGTAGCCGGCAGTGGAAATCAAATACCTGGGGAACGACGCGTCCTGGAGCCAATCAAAGCGCCACCGGCATCCCGCTCTCAGGGCCTCGGGTAGGTTTGCACAGTCGTTGCTCGAACTGACGCCCTCCATCCTCTGGCCAAAGACGGATTGGTCGACGCCATACTGCTTGGCGCATCCGTCGACTGATGTTGTGTTGCCACCGGGTACCTGGTAAAGACTCAGTTCTGCACTGCACTATCGAGCGGGCTTCCAAAAAAAGGTGACTTACTGCAAGGGTGAAGCGGTTTGTTGTTGTAATGTCGTAGGCGGTGTTTGAGGCCTGGATAATCATGCTCTTTCCGATCAGTGGGTCACTGGTGAAATCCAGCTGGTAGCATGCGCAACACCAAGCGTCCTCGATGCCGCCGCGCGTGAGGGCCGGCATGATGTAGACACCGGCAAAGCCATAGGACATTGTGTCGTTGATAGCCCATGGCTGCTGGTCGGCACACTGGAATGCATCACCGCCGTTACAGCCAGTGCCAGCGGCAGGGTTGGTAGGCTTGTTGTCTGCTGTACACGACTCCACGGGGCTGCTGAAATCGGCCTTGCCATTCCACCCGCACGATGGTTTACAGCAGTCCCAGTACCGCGTAGTGACGGCTTCGCCCGAGTAGTTGAGATTGGCGGCATGAGCAAGAAGGGCAAAGAGGTGGAGGGGGATGAGAGTGTTTCGGACATGTCGCGCCATGATTTGTGGATGGATGTATATGGTTGTGGGATGTATGGAAGAGGTAGGTAGATGTAGATGTCCAAGTCCAAGTCGTCAACAGGTCAGTGGCATGGTTCTTAGGCTCGAGAATGCGCCGGGTTGGTGGACGGGCGTGTGTATCGTATTTGAAGGATGCTCGTAGCAGCGACGAAGAGGGGTCTCGTTTTAGTCTGGCCGCAAGGAGAAATTAAGCTGCTTTTGATATCCCAGGCCGAGAAGATGAACCATGCTGCTGTGCACCTGGCAGGGATCGGCGGAGCTTGGGTACTGAAACGGGAGCCGGGGCAATGGCATTTGAGAGGCCCAGCAAGCCGTTGCCACTGCGTGCACCACGTTTGCCTTGTGCTTGTCTCTCGTCCCATGTGCATGCCATCACCATGCACATGCACACGCGACGGGCTGCCATTTGTCGCGTCGCCACCTTCTTAATCATCCTGCCCCTGGTCGCCTGCCTCGTGGTAACCAAGTATTCTCTACCATTGGCATTCCTCTTCCCCACACTTCCCACCGACGATATATCACCCTCCCCGCAATTCGGCAATCGCCGACTTGATTGATTCACATGCACTCTATTCACTCTGCTGGTACTGCTGCTGCTACTACTACTCTAAATTGCCGTAACCTCCCCAATGACGAAGCCGGACAAACATCCACAGTATGCTGCTACGCTGCCATCCATTGCCACATCCCAGACGACACCACACGGCTGCCATTGCCGAACCAACGCCTAATCCTCTGGTCAGACGTCTCACGTTCCGCCCTCGCTCGGGGGCCCCATTGTCGGTTACATGCGCCCCGCCACTCTAAACGTATTGCTCCGTCCGCCGGCAAGCGTTCACACCGCCGCCTGTGCCTGCAAACACGAACCATCAAGATTGCCAGATGCCCGTAAGCCCCACGACAAAGTGGCGCGTGCCCGTCCTCCAAGCCTCTCCATGGACCCTGTGCACGGAACATGCACGCGTCTAGCCCTCTGCCTTGTCCGTCTGTGCCGCGTCACTCCCGACCGAGCGACTACTGGAAAAAAAATATGCCCGATTGGCCCAACAGCCAATATCGCGTTCAGACCAACACACCAGCCCAAGCAACAAATCCGCCAAGGGGGCGTTTACCCTCAGCAATAGGCATCGAAGCCTGTGTTGGGCTGGCGTGGTCGGATGGATAATTTCAACCTTCACAACGAGGGGTATATGCTATAGCTCCCTCTGCTATATGTCCAGGACTAAGCTCCATCACAAGAACGTTCCAATCCAGCCAAACCAAACAAACAAATGCAGCAACAAATATGCGTGGTAGTATACCACCCCTACTACTAGGCACTAACAGACAAACACTATAGGCCAGACTTCATGTCGAGCTTTCCCGGAATGCGTGCATACACCACACTCTACCCGGCACTTGCTTCGACTGTCAAGTGGCCTATACGCAGCCATCCTTGCAGTCGTCGTACTCGCCTTGAAACTATGTTTCTGAAACCACTGCCAGTGAATCAGACTCATATGCGCCCAGGAATACAAGAAATGGACAATGCTCACCTACAGGCCAGGGATGGTGCAGGTAATATCCAAACTATCAACCTAGCAGAATCGTCTCCGAAGACCTGGACCTGTTAGCCACATATTGGCATCGTCCAAGCAGTGGCCCACGCTCTTCTCTACTGACTATGCATACTGAAATGTTTTGTCTTTGCTTCGTCCAATACTCTTGGTCGTCTCACCAATGCATTGGAATTGGACCTATTATTGGAAGTAGGGCACGTTCTCGAGTTGAGTGTGCCTCTGTAGGGCTTGTCTTAAGCCTCAGGACACAAATACGGTTGACTATTGACTGTGCTATAGAGGAAGAGTCCGGTATGTTTGGTTGAACTGCACAGCAAGTTGAGCAAACAGGTCGAAGGTAAAGATATACGTCAACATACGCTTATAATCTAAAGATTTGGACTCATCTCCATAGAGATGTATACAAACTCACCTGTAACTGATATTCACTCAACGATACGGATCCACCAGATCGCCTTGCACATTACAAGATTACAAAGGCCATTTGGGACTCCTTAACTCCAGCTTCTCTCTTTCCAAGCTCTCGCTATCGCTGCTCACCCTTTTCGTCATCAGATTCAAGCAGGCTTTCTTCCTGCCACAAACGATGCAATCATATACGGCACTCCAACTGCCATACCAGCGCCTGCTCCACCTAGCACCGCACCACCGATGGGCATCTTCATTCTCCCTCTCCGTGCAGCAATCAAGACAGCAACCGCACCTCCGCTTGCAGCACCCAGCGTGACCCAGTCCGTCTTTACCTCGCCATTGTTTTCCAATATCCTCCACGATCGATCTTTCCATTCAATCTCTTCAAGTCCTCTCATGCGGCTCCACGTCATGACCACACCTGCTGCTGTTCCCAACACAAGCCCACGACCCGCTGTCTTCAGTGTACGCGCGAGTATGACGTTATAATCGATCGGCGTCTTATTGTAGCGCGCTCCAACGACAGCGGCTGGGAAGCGCGCAAGCGAGAAAAAGGAAAAGGACATGGCCGAAGCGCGCATAACGTGAAGGTACAAGATGCTGCGCGCATACGGCTGATCCTCGGCATAGGCCGGATGTGGGAAGAGAGAGGTCATTTTGTTCTCTCTGCGTTCTTTGGCGATTCCTTGGGTCGTGCCCTGCTGGCGTAGTTTTGGGTATGGTTGAGCTTTTTGCTTTTCCAACTTCAGATCGGATGTTCCCAGTTCTTCAAAGGGGTATGCTCATGAAATTTGAGTAATTGTAAAGCAATCGCTTATTGATTTGATTGATTCATCAGCACAAGAAGTGGGATAGTTGACTATTTGCCCACAAAATTCTGCAGTGAGCTTCACGGCTTTACAGCTATCTGAACTTGAAGTCGGCGATAACAAACCTCCGCCAGCAGAAGTCTTCGGCCGTAAGTCCGATATGCTTTTGCAAGTCGCAAAGATATTTTCGCCCGGCGTTGTTGGGCTAGCATCCTTCTAGATGATATCGACCAATGGCACGCGATGGGATTTCATGAGCTCGCATCCCGTGGACTGCGCGTTCTTCAGGCGCCCCGGGCGAGATTGATCAAATTCCCGGCCCGGATCCCTTAACGGCCGTATGTCCATGTGGATGGGCGCAGTGTATGTTCTTACACTTTCATCTACAACAGGATTCCACCTTTGTTGCCGTTGAAGAACAGATCCCTACACACTTGCCTACTATGGTAAGAGGTGCTGGCCAAGCCTGTGAGCAATGGGTTCCAAGGACAACGACACGAAGGATCGAATGATCGCCATGATCTTCAACACTACAAGTAATACCAAGGGTAACCTCCAGGGGATCCTATGGTTTTGCGATACTCAGTGATGACCCTACATCTATCTATATGACATATGCAAAGGGTTACTACACATGAGATCTGTCCAACTGTGTAGAAGCCAAGCAGCAACAGACGACGTGCACCAGGATGGCCACGCAACATCTCCTGTGGCAAACAGAAAACAAGGCTCTTATGAGGGTTGCAAGGGCTGAGCCTGGGGGGCTGTAAAGTGCAAGATTTCCTGAAAACACGCTGCGTCTGGTGTTGCAAAGCCCCATGACGTCACCCATCTACCACCACATAAATGCACTAGATCCAGTAGGACGGCATAGACTCCACCGACACTCCTATCTACTAAGTCTGCAACAAACCAAAACTCTATTGTTACCGTAAAGCAATCCCGAACCTAGAATCGGAAAAACACAAATCACTACTACCCTGTCGAGACGCGATCCAGATAAACAAGATGCCCATCGGACAAAATGAAAGTGGCGTTACCTCTGGTGTGAAGTTTGTAACCTCTACCGTTGGAAACACTGTTGGGGGTGTCACAAACACTCTGGGTGGCGTAGTTGGTGCCCTTGGAAGAGGCGTTGGTGAGACGGTAAGCAGTATATTCACAACCGCATTTGCATATACGCCACAAAATACTGATTTTGAATCTTCCCAAACGCAGGTTGAGGGCGCCACAGGTAGTGCTGGCCGGCCCGTAGCCAGGGGCCTCGCCGATGTGGCTACGAGCATTGAAAAGGGCGCAAACGATGTCGCAGGAGGCGTGAAACGTGCTGGCGAGGGAAAATAGAGTGAAATGGGCTTGATTGAACAATGCCGGGGGGGGGGGAAGGCGAAAGGCTGAGGAATGGAAAGCCACCAATTGGGACCGTAACACCAGATTGAGATTCTATCTTTTTTTTGGTTGGCATAAATTGAGACTAATATTCGATACCTCTCAAACGGTACATAGTGTGTGGCTGTTGGTACGGCGCAGTCATCACGCGTTTAACCTAGAGATGTTGGTGTGACGCCGGCGTCATATGCTAACGTGCCAATATACTAACCGCAGTCAGTTCCATGAATACTCAGTACGATCAATGCAGAAGTCTGCTCTGGATTGATTCTAGGCACCATGGCTTGCTATCTTGCCGTTGAAGCCCCCCTGAAAAGTTTACTTGAGACGTTACGATAATGCGATTCAGGTAGTCTCTGAAAATGACATGGCGCATCTACGGCTCAACAGATGATGACAGGGTGTCGATAAGAGCTTAAGTATTTTCACAGCTCGCGAGGGAAATAACCGAACGGCACTTTTTGCCGCCTGGCGGGGTGCGGAAAGCTAGCAGTAGCATACGAGGCCCTGCAGTGACTACCAAACTGAGGCATTAGCTGGCGCATCACTAGAGCACACATGGCCCAACCCAGGGTCCATCAAGAGGTTGCAGCCTCAGTTAAAAAAAGCCTCACAACAAGGGGATGCTGTTCCAGTTGAAGATCTTCGCAACTGTTGGAACGTGCCATGTACGTTTGCACGTTTGTGGAAGGGAGGAGGGGCAAATGGTCTCAGATGCACATCTACTGCTGTTATCCATCTAAAGCCTCAGTGACACTGACTCTTGCAAAGATTGCAATGGGACCGGATACCCACGTTGAATTGTCTAAGTGGGTGTAGTCGCCTAGTGCTGCGTGCGTTGAGGGGATAAAGCCCTCTCATACTAGTAAGTAAGAAGGAAATACCGTATGACGTCAAGTTTACCATCTGGGCGTGCGCGTCCACCAGCCATTGTCAGCAACGGTAATGTTTGCGTAGCCACACCCAGCCACGTCGCGTGTAAGTGTTTGCAAAAGACATAGTGGTGTGTGTGTTTTTTAGGGCGTCATTATTCAGAAATTTGACTAATCTCAACTCAACACTCTAAGGAGGGCGTTCTAGGGTCAAGACATCTAAGTAGGTAAGCTTGTTCGTTCGCCTTCCACAAGCAGCGCCCTATCGATATGCAAGCCAATATACTACACAGCAGCCTTCCCCCCCCCCACTTCCCCAGCCCGTCTCAAGCGGTTCCCAAGCGACAGCACGACGAGTGAGAGGTTGGAGATGAGTCTCGTATGATCAACGCCAGCCGCACCCACTGCACAAGCGTTGCGCTAGTCGGCGTAAGCGTCATGCTCGATTGGGCACAGATCTTTGACCTCGTCCGGGTATCCGAGGGCCCTCGAGACCAATCCGAGTAGCCCGGATCATTATGACCCTTTTCCTTCCAATAGTTGATGTGAACTAGCTAATACCTCTTGCATTTTCCACGCTGCCCCGCCCTGCAAGATGGGCTGGCATGGCGACGAAGCAACCTTAAGTGGGGTTGGAGAGAAATAACAACGCCATACCACATGCGAGCTGCAAGGACGGCCAGAGCGCACGCATAACTGTCCCCCCAGGGCAAAGATGCGAGGGATTAGAAAATCATCGGCAAGAGAGAGTCCGGTTCACCATCTGACCCAAGCGAGTTGTCAACCGCGGAGTGGCACCCAGCCCTTTGTGTGGTTCAAGCTTGACAAAAACGGCTGTTGACGGCATCGACAGAAGGGCTGTCAAGGATTGACTGAGGAGGGCCGGGTGAATGCAAGTCCTCCTCTCTCTTCAGCCATCTTCTTTCTGTGCATCGGAAGCGTCGACGCTAGCAGACGCGTAGAATCGAGCAATGGGCTGCTGGGTCTAATGCGGAGACTGTTGATCATGTCATACCGGATCAGACATGGTCGATGATGTGTTACATTCTGGATTTGACCAGAAAGGCTATTTAACTGCTTTGTTCTCGCTGTATCTCTTTGTCTTTTGAATCATCTCACACACCTTCGTTCTCACAGTGACTGATACCTCGTTCAATCAGTCCTATCCTCCTATCGTTACTTTACTCTCGCTACTAGATACTAGCAGCAGTATCTCGACTTATTCTTTTTTGAAAATGAAGTCTTTTATCCTTACTGGCCTCGTGGCTGCGGCCACTGCCCTCCCCCAGGCCGCTTCTGGTTCCGAGTGTGCGGCCTCGGTTGATGGAACTTTCACCATTACCACTGTCAAGGCCCCCGAGGCGGACAAGAAGCGTGCTCTTGCCCGCCGCCAGCTTGATGGTATCCTCACCATGACCCTCCAGGACGGTAAATTGAAGGACCAAGCCGGTCGTGATGGATACATTGCCTCCAACTACCAGTACGTCTCGACGAACATCCTCCTCCTTGCTCCTCGACAACAAACTAACCAAAACCCACAGATTCCAGTTCGACGGCCCAGTCCAAGCCGGCGCCCTCGACGTCGACGGCTTCGCCCTCTGCAGCAACAACTCACTGTCTCTCAAGGGCTCGACACTCTTCTACCAGTGTCTCTCTGGCGACTTCTACAACCTCTACAGCCAATCCATCGGCGACCAGTGCCTACCCATCAACATCGTAGCCGTCATGGTCACCGACAGCGAAAGCGAAAGCAAAGACCCCGAAGTCACCCAAATTTCCGACGGCCAGCCTCAAGCCTCTGAGCCCGCAGTAACCCAGATCTCAGACGGCCAACCCCAGGCCTCCGCCCCAGGTTCTGCTCCTCCACCACCCGTCACCCAGATCTCAGACGGCCAGCCTCAAGCTTCAGCGCCTGGTTCCGTCGCACCCCCTCCTCCCCCCGTCACTCAAATCTCCGACGGCCAACCCCAAGCCTCCGCTCCTGGCTCTCTTCCTCCACCACCACCTCCAGTTACTCAAATCTCCGACGGCCAACCCCAGGCTTCCGCCCCAGGCTCTCTCCCTCCACCCCCCGTCGTCACCCCAGAGCCCGAACCCGAACCTGAGACCACTCCTCCCGCTGTCACTCAGATCTCAGACGGCCAGCCCCAAATCACTTCTCCACCTGGAAACCACAGCATCACACATACTACGCCTCCTCTGCCTGATTTCACCGGCGCTGCTGCATCGTCGGTAGCTGGATTGGGTGCGCTGGTTGGTGGTGTATTTGCCGTGGTTTTCGCTTTATAAACTAAGGAGAGTATGAGATATGGAGAGAATGGAAACTGAACACTCCTTTTATGGTATTGATGATATTCAAGGCGGTTAATGGCTTTATAAAGCGCATTGGGTTTGGGTGTTTTTGTTTGTTTGTTTAGATAACGACACTCCTTTATGAGATTATGTGGTTATGAATATAGGATAATGAAGAGGGGAGGGGATTTAATCGGGGAGGGAAAGGGGGAAAAGGTGTAGATAGTAATGGAATGTGGATGAATGAAGAGCTTCTAATAAGAAGGAAGTTGTTCAACATTGATATCGTCTCCCATCTGATATACTTGGTCATCACACTGTTCTTCCCATCCAGACCCAAAACTCTATAACAAAAGCTTTCAAAATCCCAACATCATCATTCACTTTCCATCGCTAGCCTGCATCCCGAATACCATCTCACAATCCATCTGCATCGCTCAGCCTATCGAGGTCGCTGTACAGGTGTAGCTAAGACGGTAAATTACATACCCTTCCCCTCCATACCCCTTCTCTCGCGACACGGGATGGGGATAAGAAAATGACAAATGCTGGATCGACTGGATCACAGCGCGAGAGTTACAGTGCAGTGATGATAATCCAGCAGTCTATTAGGTATTGGATATGGAGCCAAGTTACACAGATATCTGTCTTGAATCCCGATGTTAGCGAAACAAAGCGTTGAGCGGCCTAGGAAGATAGCGGTGTTTGAGTGTGAGATGTATGTACTAATGTGCTTAGTTCGATACAACATAAAATAACATAATTTTCTTCGTCTTTCTTGGTAAGTGGTGAACATTTGAATACCTTTTAGGTGTGTATATCCGGATATGAGCGTAATTTCGATTTTGAAGTGCCCATGTTTTACGTTTGGCAAAACCCTCCTTCTTTTTTACTTAACTGCGTATACTGTACATGATAGACTCTAAGCACTTTTTTGTGTTCAACTCAAATCCTGCTTACGAGGGTGTGGTGAAAGTACCAGTTGGCGGCTAGCTATTTCTTTACATTTTCAACGTGGACCTAAATTCGAATTTCAGAGTCACTACAGAGAGGTCATGCGAAATGGATTGTTTAGTGAAAGGTGAATGAAGTGGACATAGTTCTATACATTTTGTGTCGTTAGCATGAAGTAGGGGCAATGTGCAAATGTCCAAGTCCAAGACATGTGATCAGAATCTAGATTGCATTTCCACTCTCTGGAACTATTCACAAATACGTAGATAATACAACCCAGCTCGGGTACACTTGGACTACAGGGAAAGAAGATATTTAGAGAACGGACAGATCGCCAAACTTCTCCTGTGGGGTTGTTAGTATTTATGCATCGGCTAAAAGCAATTGCTCCAGAAACGTGCCTTGTAGCCAGGAACGGCCCAGCGACCCTTGGAGACGAGCTGCTCGGTGCGCTTGTCAATCTCGGGCTGGGCAGCGGCAACCTCATCCTGTGATGTTCGTCAGCACACACATAGTCCACCCCACTCATCCATAACCGGGTCCACATACAACAGTGAGGTCAGAGAATGGCCTGGCCTCCTCGATGTTCTTGAGGGTCTTCTGGAGATCGCTCAACTCCTTGTCGACGACGGACTTGGTCTGCTCTGCGCTCTGGACGGCCTGGGCCTCGAAAGCCTCAATGGCCTTGATCTGCCTTCCTACATCGTACGTCTGGGGCTTGAATGCGTTGAACTGCTTCTCGATGTCATCGACGACGGCCTGGTTCTTGAGGACGCTGCGGTAGTAGGCAAAGTCAACGGTCTGCGACTGTTCCGAGAGGACGGCGATCTTGCGGCGCGCATCGTCGTTTCGCTTCTTGAAGGCTTGGAGGGAGGCGGCGGTTTGACCCTTGAGACCAAGCTGCGTGGCGAGCTTGGTCCAGTCGAGCTTGAGGGCAGCGCTGCGCTGTGGGAGGGGGACAAGTTAGTTTTCTTGATATTCACTTCGGGGCTGCCATTGCGGGCGGGGCTTCGCTTGCGGGACAGCAATTGGACTGGGAATAGCTTCGACGGGGTTCTGAGAGGGGATCTGACGTACTCCGACGGCCATTGTGATGGATTTAGACGGGAATGCGGTGGTTTCTGTTTCGTGAGGGTGCAAGTCCAAGTTCTTCGCGAGAGCTCGGAACAGAGCCGCCAAGAAACCGGCGCCCGGACCACCGCTCACTTCCGCCCTCCATGGTGGCCATCTTCCCTAAGTTTACTTCTCCCATCCACACCTGACGCCACCCTGCTGCACTTTCTACTCATAGTCTCCGCCTAAGTCTATATTGAAACCATGTGGATTATTGATTGGTGAGTGGCTATGCCGTCTCTTCATCTACCCCTGCTGACCTTGCGCCAGGTGTAAGTTTACTATTTGTCTCTCCCGATACGGATGAAGCCCGACATAAGCCATGTTTGCATATGCAGCATCAACAGCGAAGATACAGCGCCAGGAATATAAGAGGATCTCGTTTTCTTCGCACTCTTTACCTGAGAATATCCAAAGCTGCCCACAGCATGGCTACGTCGGCCTCATCACATGCGCACCAATACCTTAACCCCCCGCATACGACACATACGCCTCTCTATACACAATTCGCTCGGCGATGACCCGAATAAACAGAAGCTGACATGGCACGATAGTTTGGGATGTTCTGTCCTCGCTTGGACTTATGAACAAGGTAGGCATGAGCGCTGTGGACACAATCATCCGACTGAGGCTAACATATGTACAGCATGCCAAGCTCCTCTTCCTTGGACTGTACGTATTCCTGCATATATTCGAATTCAGACGCCCATAGCTAACTCTGATACAGTGACAATGCTGGAAAGACCACGTATGGCAACCGAACCGGGCGCGCGCGATTCGACTAACGCATCTAGGCTGCTGCATATGCTCAAGAACGACAGGGTTGCTGTTCTGTACGTGAACCACGGTCCTTCGCTCGCCACTAGCTAACATTCCTCTAGCCAGCCAACCCTGCACCCCACTTCGGAGGAGCTGTCGATAGGAAACGTCAAGTTCACAACCTTCGACCTTGGAGGCCACGCGCAAGCCCGACGATTGTGGCGCGACTACTGTATGCCTGCCAGATTTCACAATCCTTGCACACCGCATTGACTCGTCTTTAGTCCCCGAAGTCTCCGGCATTGTCTTCCTTGTCGATGCCAAGGACCATGAGCGTCTTACCGAGTCGAAGGCTGAGCTCGACGCTCTCCTCGCCATGGAGGAGCTCAAGAACACTCCTTTCGTCATTCTTGGTAACAAGATTGATCACCCCGACGCCGTCTCCGAGGACCAGCTCCGCTCTATTCTTGGTCTATATCAGACAACCGGCAAGGGCAAGGTCCCCCTCGAGGGTATCCGACCCGTTGAAGTCTTCATGTGCAGTGTCGTCATGAGGCAGGGATACGGCGAGGGCATCCGATGGTTGAGCCAATATGTCTAAGCATACTAATACGACAAGAATGAGGTTGCCAGAGAATGGAGGAGAAGAGTGTACGAGGCATGTGGCATATTTGCCCTTGCTTTGGGGTTTGACTGAATACGGACATGAAAGCATGATGGTCACACGCGTGTTAGATGTAATCTTCCGGGCGTTGGCGTTAGCTCTTGAAATAATATTACATTTTGCATACCACTTTCTGCGGTATACTTTAAATGGCTCGATGCTACATCGTCAATCTGCTCAGGCTAGCGCTCATTGGAATATAGGAAAAGAAATGCGCTTGTGCAAGCGCCCAAACGCCACCCAATGCTCATGTTTACCAGTCCGCTAGGCCCTATCCATTGTCCACATCATCCTCCTCATTCCTGTCCTCGACCCGATTTAGTCGTCATACTCTGCATCCCTCACTCCACAGAAATCACTTCCAAAGCAACTATCCACCGCATACCACATTCGCCAGTACAAACTCGCCCCACTTGCATCAAAGCTACCATCCTCTTTCCTCGGCACCTGATCGCCAATGATGCCCTGACCAGACCCAAACACCCACCCAATCATCGGCAGCGAGCCCACCGTCTGCTGCCAGCGCGGTTTCGCCGGCAAAAACGCTTTTTCTTGTGGCAGAAAGATGGCAGGCTTGACGTTGGCGCCCTTAAGACGCAGTGTCGCGCGCTGAGAGCGGGGGTTCAACGCGGTAGTTATACTGCGTGCGGGAATGGTATTCGGGTCGAGGACTCGGTGTTCTTCTTTTTCGGGTTCCACGGGCATGTCGTCGAGGTGTGAGGGGAAGGAGCCGGCTGTGCTGCGCATAAAGGCCGGGATGTCGTTTGGACCGCGGTATCCGTTTGGTGCTAGTAATCCTGTGGGCTGCGAGGCGGTTGCTGTGGCGGACGAGGCGGTGGCAGAGGATTGTGATGTGCTGATGCCGCGGGGGCCAATAGTACCTGAGGAGATGGTGTTTGGAGAAGTGACTTGCGAGAAATTTCCTGCTTCTGCGCGGATTGGGCGGTCGCCGCCTTGAGGGCCGGTTCCCCTGTACATTTCGGCGTAGACGGTATAACCCTGGATGTTCTTGGGGCTGTAGTGGCATGCGCGCTCCGCTGCTTCGGCGCTGTCGAATGTGACTTTAATCCAGTGGTCGCCGCCGACGAATTCATTTATTTTTCTCAAAGATGCCTTGCTTAGCGACCGGTAATGCGATGCCCGTTGCGAAGTGAATGTGTATCCGAACTTTGGGTTGTAGGGCTCACGATCGTATTCTTCGTAGATGAGGCCGTTGGAAACCTTTTCGTAGTGTGATATCGCTGCCCATTGTGCGTCGCTGCCGTAACCATAGAGTATCACTTCCTTTGGTTCTTGAACGAAGGCTGAGTTTGTCGATGGACCGGCGGCAAAGGAATTATTAAGTCCATTGCTCGCGTCTATCAGGTTGGGTACTGAGCCAGATGGGGGGAGTGCGGCAATGGAACGCGATGATACTGAGCGCCTCTTGTCCTCTTCTGCCTTGTACCGACCAAATATGTCATCGATTGCGCGTTGGTTGAGTAGTTTCGCTTCGTCGGCCGCTTGATTGGCGCCCAAGGGTGTTTTTGCTCGTGAAGTTCCGCGTTTCCGTGCTTTTCCAAAGGGGCCTTTTTCTTCGGGAAGACGACGTTGATTTTGGTCTGAGCTATTGAGGTCTGATGTCAGCCGCGTGTGCTTAATTGAAGCATCTTCCCGCTCTAGGTCTTCCATAATGCAAACATGGCGAGGAAAAGTAGACTTATAGGTCCAAGGCTCTTGGATGACGCGCTTTCTGGTATCAAATGACCCACACTGAATAAAGACTGCGAAAGAAAGACTTACTCCGCAAACTCATACGCCCAGGGCAGCTTCCTCCCTGTCGAATCAAACGCGCGCTCCGAATCTGGTACAGCGTGGACCTGCATTTTTTCCGACTCTTTTCCCTAAATCTTCTACTTCTATTCCGATCGGGACCGCTACGGGTGCGCGTATCGTGGCTATGCTGTGTTGGACGTCTTTTGTTTATGCGACAGGAAGAACAGCGGAAACACGATCCACGCTAGCCAGGAACAACGCCGCGGCAAAGCCACACCAGGGCACGGACTACGTAGGGCGCACCACCTATAGTCTTGACCGTAGCGGACTTTTCCGGATCCATCCATTGCATGCATATCGATATGCTGGTGCCTACTGGTGACACGGCGCCTACAAAAAGACCAATGGATCTCACGCCTATCATCGTACGCGGCAAGAAACGCAAGCATCTTCCCGCAGCACTTACCCAGGCATCCGCCGCACTCTCCACTACTACAACCACGTCTCAATCAAAACGACCCAAACAAAAAGCAAAAAGCAAAGTCAAAGTCGCAACGCCCGCCATGCCAACACTCGAAGGCCTTCCTGTCGAATTGCTGGAAATGATATTTCTGCATAGCATGAGCATTGCTCTCCCCCAATGTTCTCCTGCATTAGGCAAAAAACTCTCCTCACGCGCAATCATCATGGAATTCACAATGCGATCTTTTTGCGACACAGTTGATCACCGCACCAACTATCGGGACCGGAAAGTCATCAGCGACCCAGTACTACAGTCGGACCTTCTATCCTGCCGCTTCTTCACCTTTGAATTCTTCCTGGCTTACGTGCAGCGCGCGCACGAGGCTGTGGTCAAGTTGCGCGGGAAAGCGTGGGCAGCTACTGGTGTCACTATACCTGATGTATCGTATTTCGACGGACTGTGGCCGTACATGTTTACCAAAATCCCGTATTTGGGGTTTGCACGCGGTTTCAATATTCCTGAGAAACTGTTGCATGGTCCATGGACAGAGGACAAGGCGTCGTTGCTGTATGTTCTAGTGAGTTTGAACGGTGAGATTGATTGGGAGGGTAGTATGGCTGGCGAGGTGGCAAAAGCGGGTATTCGAGAAGCTATTAGAGAGAGCAACGAGCATGCAGTCGCGGCTTTGGCAGTTCTCTTGGGTGTACCAAAGGGTATTACCACGGAGATGTTGCAGTATGCGGTCATAGACTGTGACTGTAACTTGAATATTCTCCGGCACCTGTTGTTCAACGCGCAGATCCTTGCCACAGAGGCATCAGGTACTCTCGACTTCTACGATCCCGCTCTTTGGGGATGGGCAGACATCAATGGTCACAAGGGGGAAGTGCTCAAAGACATGCTCAAGAGAGCAGACGCATTCGATTTGGAATTCTACTTCGAGGACAATGCTGACTGGAGAAAAATCGTAGCATTTCCGTATAGTGGAAGCAAGTTTGATGCAAGAACAGGATTCCATCCAGTGGTGAGAGAGCTGTTGATGAATCTCTACCGCAACTATGGGAGAAAGATCACACGGAGAAGAGGTGGAACGCCTGAGCAGAGGATGATTGAGGGAAATGTGATTGATGGATGAGCTAATTGCTATACTTCTAACTAACTGACGAATATGGATGACCGATGCAAGGTTAATCTTGCACCTACCTCTGCAATTTACTATTGACACACATACATAGCGAAGATGTCCTGAGAGGGGAAATGTCTCGGGTCTATAGTGAACATGACACGTTGCTCCATACTATTTGATATGGGACCGTTGACAGTATCAGTAGATGCTATTCCGCAAACGGGATCAAAGCGCAAAGCCTCGCATTTGATAAATCTGTAAGCTTGTTAGCTATCTGTGCCAGGACAAAGTCATGTCAAGCAAAAGCGTGATTGAAGTCTTCCTCAGTGATCTTGGTGATAAAGTAGTAATCATCGTGATCATATACTATCTATTGCATGTTGTAATCATTGGAAGGGGGGAGTGTGATGATGTAAGTAAAGCTGGACTGACCTTGGATGGGATACTGATAGCTTCAAAGTCAGTGAGCAGGCATGTATGCTACATCACAATGCAAATCAAGCCATAGGCCCATGAGCTGTGAGTTGTGGTGTGCCTAAAATCTTTTCAAAGTCAGCAAAGGTCTTGCGCAGAGCATCGACATGATAAGCTGGGTGTGTCAAGCAAACTCAGAATATGTAAGAAATTGAATATCATAAACCCGCCGCCGTTAAGAGACCCCGGCGAGGGTCTCCGACGACGAGCTCAATCGCAAATTATGTCATCCTTGAGGGCGAGGAAAATTGCGGAGGATGGAGACGTACCAGTGGAGCTATCGAGCTAAGCTGCAGCTGCAGGCAGTTTGCAGAGGAATGAGTAGATGTGTCCGTAGCCGGAGAGGCGCATCAACCCTCATCCGTTAGAAGAACTTTGTCTATGGGCATAGTACAGGTACAGCGAGTGCATCGCAGAAGACTGCAGTTGGGTGTTGATGTTGCTGGTGTTGGTGAGGCCAAGATGCAAAGAAATAAGTCGCGGTCGCGGTTGCGTTTTTCTGCTAGCGCCAAGCCGGGCTTCGCTTGTGCACGGCCCCGGCACCGCACTTGGATTTTCGATCGCATTGTCTCTACATTCCGAACAGAACACCACCAACGACCTAATTTCCGACCAGTACGCCTCTCGACGCTGCACCATACTCGCTTCATTGTCTAACATTGTTTCGCAGCACAACCGACGAAATGGGTGACGCCGAAATCACAACGAGTGCCTGGAGGCTGGTCGAGGTCGGCCGTGTGGTCCTCTTCAACGAGGGCCAGTACGAGGGTCGCCTGGCTGCCATTGTCGAGATCATTGACCACAAGCGTGTACGGAAACCCGCGGACTCGGTTGCTATTCAGCCGCTCACAGAAGCATAGGTTCTCGTCGATGGTCCTTCCGAGAAGGCCCCCGTTCCCCGCCAGGAGATCGCCCTTGCCAAACTCTCCCTCACACCCATCGTCATTCCCAAGCTTCCCCGCGCCAGCGGTGTTGGTCACGTCGCAAAGAAGTGGGAAGAGCACAAGGTCCAGCAAAAGTTCGATAAGAGCGCATGGGCAAAGAAGCGTGCGGCCATGCAGAAGAGGCGGGGACTGAATGACTTTGAGCGCTTCAAGGTCATGAAGATGAGGAAGCAGGTACGTTGCGTCTGGTGTTGCCCCCTGTGATCGGTCGCAATTTGGATTGTGTCCTGGGGAATTAGCGCAGTCTGGAAACATGATAATTAACATATACACACAGGCCCGCTTCGAGGTCCAGAAGACCTTCGCCAAGATCCGCGCCAGCGCAAAGGCATAGGTATTCTAGATGCTGTCGGGAGACAGGCGTTGTGGAGGTCGCTGCATGCAGGTGACGGAGAGGCATGATGTGCATTTTTCATGAGCATTCCGAAGGCGACCCTCAAAGGCATTCAAAAATTCAAGACCTGGCTTCGGGTGAATAAGTCCAATGTTTGGCATGGTGCAATTCGGTATGGGAAACGTTTACTCGGCTCTCGCATGCATTCTACATGTAGCAAGAGAGTCCAATCCACAATTTCATGAACACACACAACAAAAGACTGCAACTAGAATTGCCAATTTGATACCCTCTTTGAACTGGCTTGTTTTTGTGAAAGCGTGACAATGGAAAAATAATGTGATTGCTGCAGTAGCCGTAGCAGCAGTTGTAGTAGTCAATCGTCATATCCGAACTTTTGGGGGAGGAGCTGCCCGCGCTAAACCGCCCACAAATCATTTTTGGGGGAAGCTGCGACCACCACCCGGCGGACCTCGATATTGCAGCACCAGTACCATCACCACGTCTCGTCACCCACACACCGACAAAATGGCCAACCCACGCATCGAAGAGATCCCCGACGAGCCCGAGAAGAAGAACGCTCAGATCGAGGAGGATGAGTCCAGCGACGAGTCCGAGGCTGAGGAGGGTGAGGTCAACGTCCCTGCGGGCTCCTCCGTCGCCGTCCACTCTCGCAACGAGAAGAAGGCTCGCAAGGCCATTGCCAAGCTCGGCCTGAAGCACATTGAAGGCATCACCCGCGTCACCCTGCGCCGACCGAAGAACGTGAGTGCCCGCTTGCCAATTGGTGTTGGTGGTGGAAGCCCGCAGTCAAACAACAGAGATGCGGGCAGAGCCGCTCTGATGGAATTGGAGCTAACAACTAGCCAGATCCTCTTCGTCATCAACCAGCCTGACGTCTACAAGTCTCCCTCAAGCAACACATGGATGTTAGTCCACTGCCCCTCAATTACCGTCCCACCTACTGACCCCGCACCAGCATCTTCGGTGAGGCCAAGATTGAGGACTTGAACTCCCAGGCTCAGGCTTCCGCCGCCCAGCAGCTCGCTCAAGCCGAGGCTCAGTCCCACGACCACGCCGGTCACGACCACGACCACGATCACGGCAAGGGCAAGGGCAAGGCTGTTGAGGACAAGAAGGAGGAGGAAGAGGAGGAGGATGACGACGAGGAGATCGACGACTCTGGCCTCGAGGGCAAGGACATCGAGCTCGTCATGCAGCAAGCCAGCGTCTCCCGAAAGAAGGCCGTCAAGGCTCTTAAGGAGAACGATAACGACATCGTAAACTCCATCATGGCGTTGAGCATATAGACTGCCTTAGTCTAGGCGTCTAGGTACGAGAGGTGGATGATGACTTCCAAGGCATTACAGGGTCGAAAGGCTGCCTGCCCACTCATGTAAAAGAATCAATCAACATGAATCTTTACGAGTCAATCCGTCTTCCTATTTTGCATCAACAAGAGGGACATAAATAGTTGAGCTGACAATTTTAGATATCTAGGAGTGCGAGGAAAGTAACTCACTCGAACCATGCTCTCCATTCTGAGACAAGTGTGAGTGCGAATGAAGATGATGATGGACATCACTGCTTCTTCACGAAACAAGGCGACCCAGCAATACTCCAGCTGAAGAGGATGCAAATCCTTGTTTTAGGCCTGGGTAGCATAGAGTATCCAGATCCTTTGTTGAGCAGTGGCAGAGGTGTGGCCAACCATCATTCGTAACCAAGGTGCGCCTTGAGCGTTTTGACGTCGTTGTCAAGCTTGTAGTCTCTCAGCTGCAGACGACTACGTGACCAAACATTCCCATTCTAGTATCTTTGGAATCCCTTCCTGGAAACGTCTCCTTCCAAACCTAGCACTGGCTGACCATGTCATGGGCCTGTCGATGAGGTGAGCCATAAGAAGCATATCCTCTAGTAGGCGATCATTGAAAGCTTGGTACCATATATCCAATCAACTTTTGGTTATGACCTAGACAGGGCTGTTGGTATTGCATCATCCCGTTGTATTTTGTGGGCGTACTGATTCGCCAATGTGGAGGCTCTTTCTCACGTTAGACTGCTGACGCACCCACTTTCAGCCTCGTAGACATTTCCCCTTGGCAAGGATGACATTGATTTGGGTTGCGATCGCAACCATGGCTAGTAAACAGTAACGTAGATCGTACAGTTTCGTCTTAAGCAGAGAAAATTTCCCATGATGGAGCGCATCGCTACGCCTTGCTGATCAGCGCATTCACGAGACTTCAGAAACATATCGCATGGTCATGTGGACAGCTTCAAAATGACGGGCGATTGATGGGGAGCAGCAGTGAAGTTGGACTTGGAGTTGCTGAGCCACACGCTAGAGTACTAGCCACTGTGCGGCAGTCCCGAAGCCTCCCCAAATTTGATTCCTTGGACCGTCAGCTTCGCCATCAGCCTCAGCCTCAAACACAAACTCCCAGGTTTATTCACTGATCGTGGCATCAGGCCTCCCAGATATACGCCGGGAACTCAGACTTCCGGGCATGTATCGCACTCTCCGACTCACCTGCGCCCGGCTCACTAACACAACAACTTCAAACTGGTATCTTCAGCTGGTGGTCATTCTGCTGCGAACTCGTACAGTGAAACTTGGCCGATCGGTGTTAGTCTCTGATATCTCCAGCCACGATTATTTTTGACTTAAGAAATACTAGACTTTAGCCAATAAGGCTTCATTTTGCATCCGAGTGTCTGGATATCGAAATATACAACGAATAAGCATTCAATACACGGGCTTGGCATCTGATTCGCGAGTGCCAAAAGTATGGAACCATCATGACGGCGCGTGAGCTTGGATCTGCCGGCCCGCCAGGTCCATGATCGACTCATCCTTGTCTATAGCCGACAATCTGACGATAGCATCTCTGTTTGACGCCGGAAAGGGCCGCTCGTGCCAATCAAGAAACGTATCAACTCACCAGAAGCATGGCCGTTCCCATAGATCTCATTGAACGGATGTTTGTAGGCGATGATGCTGATCATTTTTGTCTTAAGAAGAGCAGCATCTTACTGAATACCTCCATACTTACCTTGCCTAGCTGGCTCCATCATCCTGGGCTGTGGGGTTTGGGAGCATGTTGTGGCTTCATGACCATGTGGCTTGGTCAAACAGAACGGCCCTTTGCTCTTGGTTATGGAGGCTTTCCGAATCTATCTTGTTCAGCTGAACTTCCATACAGCAAGATACTAGCCTCGGGCGTCATCAGTTGGAAGGTAAAAGGTCGGGTACAGCTTTTTTATAATGATTTCGTTTTCCCATTCCAAATGCTTCACTCAAAGCAGGAACAACCGGAACCAAAAACTCAACATATATCTTCCTTAAGAAATCCATACTGCTCATCGAATAGCATATTCTGAGAACTTGTATGCGGGATCAGTTCAGATACTCAACCGATACCGAACTACAGGAATTTAACAGCCCACCAGTCCGTACATACTACGTGCCAAAGTTCTTCGCAATGTCATCCACTCAAAGAATCACCACTGTACGCTATAATCATCCCCGACTATCATTTCTCACCAGCTCCGTAACATCATTTTTCTCATACATCTAACATTACCCAGGCAGAGAAAGAGAAATACATCCAAGCCTTGCGAGCCCACCGAGTAAACACCATAGTCGAACTCCGCCGCATCGAAAAAGCATTCGCAGTCCTCGGGACCTCCGACTGCAGCGAGGCCATGACATCAGCATGTAAGTCAGCAAATATCTTAATTTCCCGAATACATTACAAAACTAACATTGAATTTCTTTCAATCCTCAGGGTCCTACTACGTCGACTCCCACAGCCTCCTAACTGAACTCCGTGGCTTAACTCGAAACTATCCATTCAGGTAACTCCCCAAACATGCACTTTGGAGAGAGAAAAAAAAGAAACTAATCAACAACGAAAAAAATAGTTCAGACTGCCTTGACGAAGCCAAACGCCGCGTCTACATCGACCCAGCCAGTAACCGCTCCTGGAACCTATGCTGGCTCGTTCTAAGCAAGATACAAGCCGAGTACGCCCCTTCTCCCCCTTCTCCCCCTTCTCCCCCTTCTCTCTCTATTCCTCTCTCCCATACTTCCCCTCGCCTATTCCCTTCTTTTCCCAAGTAAATACGCGGGAACGAGTAGCTTCGCTAACTTGAGGGAAAAAAAAAGCCAACTCATCCCCTACTACGCGCGCTACCAGGCTACGCAGCCGGCCATGTGGGGTGGTCATGCGCCGACGGCAGAGCAGGTTATGCAGCTAATGGAGGCGTTTGTGAATGAATGGAATTGGGCGGTTACGCAGATGTTGAGGCATTGGGTGCAGCCGCCTGCGAGGTGAAGGGGGTTTTGAGGAGATGGTAGTGGGAGAGGGGAGGGGAGGGTAGAAAGATTGGGGTGATGGTACATGAGGGCTTGGGGATTGGTGTTGGAGGCGTTTTTCTTTGCTTTTTTTTGGAAGGGGGGAGGGGAGGGAGAGGGAGAGGGTTGGAGTTTCTTCGGCGTTTTCTAGGTATAGAAGGTGTTGGAGTTTTGGTTAATTTGTTCTTTTTGTTTTGTGGCAAGATGACGGGTATTAGTTTTCTTTTTTCTTTTCTAAAGATTTGATTGAGCGGGCTTTTCCCCCCTTTCTACGATATGTCATCGCGTTTGTTTCGCATATCCTTTTCCTTATATTTGATTATATCTCTTGTGTATACGCAGCGTTAATGTCGCATCGTGCTTGCTCTCTATCTATTTGTTTGTCAACGGAATTTAGAGTACATTATAGGAAAGAAGGCAGATGTGTTGTCAACGGAAAAAGCAATTTCATGGTGAAAAATTAGTGATAGTCGTGACTATTTCCAAGAGAGGGAAGGATGAGGGGTAAAGGATGCTCTTAGTTTGTTGGATATTGATTCCCATCTCTCGTTTCAATATAGTAGTCATGAGATAGTATACGAACCTTCGAGTCGCCGCAAAGCTCGATAGCGCCGTATCTCTCCGTTCAGCACGAATATGAATCACGCTCAGCCATGCATTCAGTCGCGCAGTACACTTTACCTCCTCGCATTCCAGATAGGAAAGGGATATCCTACCTTGATCAACACGCTGCTGTGCTTACCATCTTCCGCCACAATGGCGCCATATATCGCTCGATTGCGCGGCGTACACGTCTCTTTTGCACCTCCTGATACGGACAAATATCTGCGCCGAAGTCAGTCAGTTGACGCGCGGCTAGCGCCATAAGCAGCGGAATTCTGCACTGTTTCTGGCAATGCTGGGCAGCGCAGTGCAGCCGGTGAAAGATGGATGCCTGTCGGGTAAGCTCCTTAGTCTCGAGTAGGCATCAATGAGAATGCGAGCGAGCAGCCTCGCTTACGCCCTATCCCCGAACCCTCGTATGACATGTCGTTCTGTTTTCTCCTCCCAGCGAATGGAAATGCACAATGAAAATGGATTTCTAGGCATGCTCTCTATTTCCGTTCTTTGTTCCCTCCCGTGTGGGGGTTCGGTTGGGGTACCCGGTGGGGCGCGGTGTTAGGTTTGAACTTATCGATTCGAACTTCTGTATACTGTTGTGTCTAAAAAAAACATGCCTCGCGACATGGTTCGATGCGGAACCGCTGCGAGGACTTTGAGGATTGTTGCAAGGTGCAAAGATTATGCTCGAAATCCACCATTTAGGTTAGGGCGCTGGCGGATTTGGTCAAGAAGTGAGATAACCATGACATTTTGGGTGGCATAGGACCGTATGCGTGCGTTTCGGAACTCTTGGGAACTCCTGGTCGGCGATACATGTGCTCGTGAGGTAGAGGTTGACTCAGGGTACGGTAGGGGGCGGGCGCAGACCAGGATGACAGGAATTGACGGTGAAGGAGACTTTCCAGACATGTACGCATTTATGAAACAACACTTTACACTAATCATACTTGGTACAGGTATCGCGCCGTTAGTTTGGTGTGTTGATGGAGTTTGGTAGGGAGAGTTGACATGACTCGTGACATCGCATCGTCAACCATATAGGGAAGTATTTGTCATGAGAGCGTCTGTAGTGAGCACCCTTCCTTTATCCTAGTAGTCTTACATGTAATCATCCGTGATATGATACCAATCCTGGTGAGTTGCTGGAGCAGTGTAGAAAATGCGCATGAGCATGTTATCACGGTACAGTTTCCTAAATAAACGTCAGCCATAGTCATACGCCACGCATACCCACTTTTTACCCTCTGATTCAAAACTGAATAGGTGTTTTTGTGGTCTGCTCTCATACGCTCAAGCAGCAACAATCAAGCGAGATGTAGGAAGGGTTGAGGAACTGTGCCATTTGTCCTTCTTTGATGTAAAATAATATACACCGCCTAGAGGCCGGATAGTTGCACAGACGCCTGGTTGTAAGACTTACGGGACTGCTAGTATTACCCGTGGTCCTTTTTCGGATACCATAAACGGATTGTTCTGGCCGATAGAAGCTCGGTCGAGACTGGTTTCCCCCACGCAAGCTTGGTAATGGACAAGTGGGCTCGAGATGCAGCCGCGGGATGCCAGTTTGGATTGAAACTTGCAGGCCTGCGAATGACATGGAATAGAGCCGAGACGGGCTGACATAGACAAGTATAGATTTAAGTAGCGTAAAACCCAAAGATGTGAAAGTGAAAAGAGAGCCGAACTTGATGATCCCAGTTAGCGGTCGTGCGGATTGTGCTCCGCCTCTATTCATTGGAAGGCACATGTGCGAGTCGATGCACCTATACACACACTAAATGTATCCACGCAGTTGCTCTATGCAAGCAGGAAACTAGGCTGGACCTAAAGTTGACAACAAGTCATCCGGCGTGTCAGAGTAAGGAGGGCCTTAAGGTGCGCATGCGAAAGGAGCATCAAGGGGGCAAGACGCGCATTTCCCCACGGAGTCAGGCAGCGCAAGAGTGAGGATTCGAGCGGCCTGTTTGGATGCGTTCCCACCTGACGGCAGTCTTGGAGCAGTTCCCCTAGTCTGCCCATGACTAAGTGGACGCAACGCGGCTAACCCTGCAATGTGTGTGTGTGACGTGCATTAGGGAATCGCTTACCCGGACCGCCAGACGGGCTGATAGCATGACATCACAAAACTGTCGCGGATATGGACAAGAAGCCGTCGCAACCACAAGAGGTACGCCTGAAGCCTAACCCAACCAACTCTCATCTTTATTTTTGATTGCATATAGCGGCTTCCATCCGGTGGCGCTGTGCGCAATGCTTTTGGCGGACGCATATATCTCTTTTTTCAGCACCCCTGTCCCCAATCTTGTGTTTCACTCCAGGTTTTGCTCACCGATCAGCATCCGTGGCGTCCTTGAGCCCTTGGGATCAGACGTCCTTGCCATAACGCTGGGTCGCTGTAGTCACCCATTATCGGTGCCATTGACGGTAACCCATCATGCCCTTCGCCGAGGAGGACGCGGCGGCGGCGGCATCATCCGAAGGATTTCGGGGTGTATACACAAGCGCCCCTCACTAGACATGTACAGTGACCAGTTATGCAGGCCCAAGAGCCGCTAATCGACTGCCATTGAGTGTCTATTGTTCTTTTGAACAGAGTGTTGCTACTACACCAAATCACAATTGCGTTGGCAGTGTAAGAAGAAGAAGAAGATTGATGTCCTTTGTTCGTGCAGCTAACAGTATTGGTAACGCCATGCCAGCTTGGTCTACGCACACTGCATCCAACACCATACCACAGTGCAAACCGAAGAAAAATACAGGGCCAATCTCAATCTGTGCCACACGCGTCGACACGGCAGAGCTCACAAAGCAACGATGCCGCCCCTCAGCTTTGTCGAGATGGGCGATCTTGGCCGATCCACTGCGCAACATCCTAAGCGCGCTGTTCATCTCTTCGGAAATACTTCGCCGATTACGTGCGGGTTCATCATCTCGGACATTGATCATTCTGACATGCGTCTCCTTCTCAATTTACTATCAGGGACGAACTTTCGTTCAGTCTTTGAGCAGTTTCCTAAACTCGACAAGACTCCACCCACTGGGCTGATATTGCAGATGATAGTCTCAACAGGACTGCATTAGCATATTCGGCTGTTATCATGATGTTCTAAGCATCGACTGAGTAGCTACTCGCAAACACGGCTGGGTCAGGAGCGCCACCAAGGCTCCAACAATCTGCCTTGCCATCGTTTTTGTCCACCAGCTGCGGGCAAGGCGCTTGCTTTCCTCGTGCGGACATACCATGTGAATTCGCACCCATTGCCCAACTCGGTTACATATCCGCTTGAGGACGTCCTCATCATATGCCTGGTGCCGACTTATCCTAAAGATGCCATAGCGTAGCGAGACTCGACTGAAGCGATGCAGCCAATGTACTCCAACTGGACCCGTAAGGCTGAGTACGAAAAGGACAGTGTCTAGTGGCGAGCCAGTGGTTGTGATGCGACTGGGGAATGGGCCGCCTGGCTGCATTATCCTGCAAGAGCCATGTCTGCTATCATACACTGTGTGGATGTCCAGCTGATCATTCATGCAGTGCTGAAGCGATATGCAGCCAATCCTCCCTAGTAAGGCATGTCATGAGGCTATGCTGTAGGTGGTGCCCTAGCCATGCATGGTGGAGAAGGCTCTCCCTCGAGACGTTTTAGCCTTGGAACGTATGCTTGTGACAAGCGAACGGGCCGGGAGCAAACCTGACACTCCCGTATCAGTCAAAACGAAGTTGCATTTGGCGGTGAGCTGCATGTCGATGCACAATCACATTGCAGCAACTTCCCGCATTCGCGGTAGCCGTCATCGCATCTGCTGATAGTGAATTGGGGCCGATACTGGCAAGAGGTAGCCGCGCCCTTGGCTATCAAGGATAGCTGTACGAATGCTGCTCGTATTGTAATTATCTAAAAAAGGCTGCTTGCTTGCGCAGGCCGACACAATACCAGCATGAGTCGCCACAACAAGTACGAGTGTGGAGGGGGTGTGAACAGCTGTGGCATTAACTTGCGCACGCCAATCGGATAGCCACCACCCTAGTGAGCTGAACCTTCGGCGGCTCATTTTGACCATTTGACCCAATGATTCTCCATAGGCGTAGCCCCTGATAGCTCTGCAGCTCAACGGGGTCGCAGATGGGTGGATCCCAAGCATCTCACAGTTGAGATGGCATGGCACGGGCCACAACTGCCCATGCAGTCCGAAGGCACATCATCACGTTATTTTATGTTGAGTAAGTCTCGGCAAAACTATGGGCCTGGTAAGAAGTGCTAATCGGGGTGCTCAGCCGCTAATATTCCGTCTCTCATGTAGCATGAAGGCCCTTCCTCGGCAGCGACGGATGTAGGCTGTTGTAGCGAGCTGTAAGTATGTACAGATCAAAAGGCTCAACCAGGTCCCAAGACAACAAATACTCGCACTTTTTTTTTGATCACATGCTGACATTCACCCACTTGCAAGTAGGAGAATCAGGTCCCGTGAAGCTTCGGAACTTCCCGTATGATTCGACTGCACGCGAAGAATTTGAGCGAATGGTGTCTCCTCGCACAATTCCCACAGCGGTAAGCGCGGTGATATTAGGCTGATGCGAATGTGATCGAACCTATTTTTGCGATCTGCGGTGTTCCTAAAAGGGTCTTATAAGTACCTACCGGACCCGGATCGTCGATGACTCGCGTCAATTGCCCGAGCAGAGATACATATGTGAGTAAGTACGAATTCTAGCGAGGATATGCTCACTAGGACGCGGCCCTTTAATTAGTACAAGATGCTTCGACCTACAGCGGGACCAGGATGGCAACCACAGAGCCACATGGCTTCCCGAAGGAAGCTCTGCCGCAAGCGAGTCAGTGCGGTGGGCAGACGTTGGTCAAGGGCAGGCGACCACTTGCCTCCATACGGCAAGGTTTCGATACGTCCCGCTGCCTTTACCATAGTTTTGGACCCGAGTGGTAGGGGTCCATTTGAGTATTTCTTCTTTGCCACGTCTGACCCGCAGCCATTAGCATGACGGGCGTCGGGTCACAAGCAATCCAGAAAAGATACACCCAGGATTCTTTCTTGTCGCACGAGCCTAGTCATGTGTGTCGAGCTCAATCTAATGTAAGCCTTGCCTTGCAAGGCGGGTCTGTCAGCTCTAAATTCACACCGGCACTCCGCATTGCCATCCACACCCTGACAAGGGCAACTAGCGATCACTGGATACACATCTCTCACAGTGGGTTGCGTCAATGGCAGCCAAGTATATAAAGGTCCATTGCAGGCACACTGCTGAGTTACACCACCAACATTATACCTGCCTATTTTTTTATACTGACTACCAGGGAATTCCCTAGTACTGAACGTATACATATACTTTTAAGTAACGCCCAGAATACGTTTGATACATAGTCACTCAAGTTTTTTAAAGCCACTTTTAGTCGACCATGTTGTCGCCACCCCTTAGTACGAGGTCTTCCTTTGAGAGCCTACACAGCAACACTTCATCAGTCTTCAGCTCACCAGATAGACTTCCGCCAGCGGTAAATGGGCCTATGGTATGGCAAGGGGAAGAGCTTGATCCATCAGAGTATGTTGAAAGATTGAGTGAGGGTGAGATTCGAGATGTCAGAGCCGCCATTATAAAATTTAAGCGTGAGATTTGCCCCAACCAATCCCCCTCATTCCCCGGGGTCACTGATAGTTTTGGAATGTAAACTGATAGTTTCCCTGTTTCAGTCACCGGACTTTCACGAAGCGACATCAGCCCAGAAACATTCGATCTTGGCAACGCACAACTAGCAAGCAAACTGTCGTCGCTAAGCAAACGTATCCACCAAGGCCGGGGCTTCGTCGTATTGCGTGGTCTAGACGCAGCCTATTTTAACGACGAAGAAGCGGTTATTGCATTTGCAGGCATATGCTCGTACATTTGCCCAGAGCGAGCTACGGATTCATACGCCAACCAAACCCTAAGCCACGTACTGGATGCGACTAAAAAGCCCGTTCCAATAGAATGCAGAGGAATAGGACTCGCAGGCTCAAAAGTCACTTCTGCCATGGACTTCCACAGCGACCGCTTCTCCGGAGACGTCCTTGCTCTGTATGTTCGAAACGACGGGGGGCCTAACTCCGGCGGCGAGCAATTCGTCGTTAGTTTTGCCCGGATTTACAATGAACTACTGGAAACCGATCCAGAGGCTCTGGAGACGTTGGCAGAGCCAAATTGGCCATTTGAGTTGAAGCAAAAGTGAGTCTTTTTTCCACCTCCCTCTATTGGTTCAAATAGGGCAATTTCCTCCGCCCATGCAACTAGATGACCGCATACCTATTATTTCCCTTGTCCATTCTCCCTATCTTCAAGCCACCACTTTTTTTCTTCCCCGTATCTTTCTCTCTCTTTCTTCCTCTTACCGCCTCTTCCCTGTGTCCCTTTTTCGTGAAAAAAAAGGCACCCACACCCACACTTCTCCAAGTTTCCCCAATGGAGGAAATTCCCCCTTCTTCGCCCAATCGAGGCAACAACGGAAGAGGGGGTGAGGGGCAGCAAAGTAAGAGGAGAAAGAAAAGAAGGAGATAGCGTCCGCTTGCTTGCTTGCTGGGCTAGACAAACTAACACTTTGACCCAGGAACGGGGCCACCTACCTGTCATATGGCCCCATTCTCTTCTTCTCGTCAAACGGAACGCCCATATGCCAACTCGTCAAGGCCCCGCTGCTCGGGACCCCCAGTCTCCCTCGCGCCACGCACCTGCCATCGCTCAACCCGCAACAGCTCCACGCCCTTGACGCCGTCGAACGGCTAGCCCGCGAATACAGCCACCAACTGTGTCGCCGCCAGGGCGACATCCAACTCGTGCACAATCTGTCTGTCATGCACGCTCGGTCCGCATACGGCAGCAATAGCAGCAGCAGCAGCAATGACGCCAGAAAGAGCGGTACTAGTAGCCGCAGCACGCAAAACGCACAGAGTTCGCGCCACTTGCTGCGCATGTTCCTGCGCGACCCCGCCTGTGCGTGGGAGAAGCCTCGCTGGGCCGCCACGTCCTTTGACGATCCCTTTGAAAAGGGAAGACCGCAGAATCTGCCCGTCTACGATATGGACCCTTGGCGCATCATTAGTGGCCGTGAGAGCCATGGCTAAGGGTTTCCACACCTGCCTTCCCACCACCTTTCCTCCGCCCCTCTCCCCCCCCCTACCTCCTCCTTACCTTCCTTCACGCCACTGTGGATTCGCCCTTTCTCTCTCTCTCTCTATTTCTTGTTTTCTTATTCTTCGTACTTGACTATAACGCTTTTGTCACGGCCCCGGTACCGAGATACATTTACATTACGTACATATCCATATGTATGACACCATACATATCTATGGTATGTATTGTACATTACCGGGCTGCGTTACACAACATAATAATATTTTTTGGGGGGGGAAGCGAGGGGGGGAGGCAAAAAAAAAGAGACACCAGAAACGACTTAGCTATAGCTGCGCGAGTAAAGGGCCAACCACTTTACTTTACTGTACTTAGCCATGTTCTCCCTTCTTAGTCGGCCAAACTAGTCTACCTTGCGACTTACCCGCATGACGTGCAGCAGGGGACCGACGTATGGGCGCATATGTGGGTGCTTGCACACTCACTCACATGTGTGGTGTGTGCACGGTCAAAAAAGAGAAGAGGTGGGTGTGGGTGTGGGTGAGTGTGTGAGTGGACTGGGGGCTCGAGGGATGGATACGGTTTTTGTCGGCCAGTGACAAAAACTTTGTTTCTGGGGCTTGATGATTTGGAAGGGAGGGTCGGGGAGGGGCGATGGGTTGGGGGCGGGAGGGTCGATCCATGAGGTGCTCGCACTCGCTTTTCCCTGTCTCTGTTCTCAGCGTTTCATTTCATTTTCTTTCCTTTTCTTTTTTCTTTCTTCCTTTCGACACCACTTGTCTCACGCAATGCATACCGGAATAGGTGGTGGGCTATGGGGAAACGGCGTGTCGGGCGTGTCTAGAACTTTGCGGCATACGATCGACATTACCATGTTGGCGGCACCACCGGGCCCCCCTTATCGTCACTTTTTTTTGGTCTTCCCTCTCGTCCTTGAATTTCCTTTTGTTTCAATATTTGGCATTTCGTTTTCATTTTATTTTCTCAATCTGCTCAAACTAGACTATACGAGCTTGTGATAGACCAACCGAACTCATAGAATCCACACAATGACTTTGCTTCACTTGTTTCAGTTTTTCCCTTTCCTGTTTCCCCCCGCCGAGCTCAACAAAAAAAATAAAATCTCGGACAAATCCGCATGAACGATAGCAATCTTTTGATTGAACAGCGGGGCTCACTGAATGCACGTACGAGGTTTTCATGGCTCATCCTCGGCACATGACTGGGTATCAAAAAAAACAAATGGACTTGAAATAGCTGAAGCGGGGAGAAAGGAAGATGACCCGCTCAAGCTCCAGCCTCCTTGAAGAGCTTAACAATCCATTCACTCGAAGTCGACCAATGAGCCGTTGCAAAACCAGTAAGTGGAGGCTGGAAGCGGTCTAAAGAAAAGAGGGGACATGTTAACACCGATAGTTGCAGCAGTGGAGGGGGGGTCAAATGGGACTTACCAGGATTGCTTCGATCGAACAAGTTGGCAATAGACGTGACATACTGGAACCCTTCTGCGTCAATGTGGCCGCGTTCGCGCAGTTCGTCTGGGTTATCACGCGCTAATTTGAACGGCGAATACCCCCGAAGAATGCAACGCCAATGGTATAGAAGCACAGGAAAGGCGAATTCCCACTTTTTGATCTGCGTTGTGACGACGTTGCTGACCTGGTTCTCAAGCAACTAGTGGCCGAATTAGTAAAAAGGAAACAAAAGCGAGAAAAAGCAGCGTGGTATCGATGGCGGGCCACTTACAGTGCCGTTTTTCGACTTGATATAGTCTTGGGCTCCGTGGTGAATGTATTCGAGATTCCAGAAGATGACATAAAACGTCAAGAACAGTTCGTACCAGGGTTTGATCTTGGGCTTGAAAATCAATGCAGCCAGCTCCTTGACGAAGAGCTTCTCCAGCTTTCGAAGGTATTTGACGGCAGCAACATCCATCTGGTGAGTGATTGCACCAGGGAGTGGACGATCGCATGACCCTCGATCATATGCTTCATAGTCGCTATGGCCGAGCCTTGAGTAGTCGTATTCACGTATACCAGGGATGTTGGGGGAGAAGACGGAGCCGTAACCCTGAGAAACCACGGAGAGACACTGGAGACGCATTGCTAGGTCGAGAGCCCTGCTTCCGGTGACTTGGCGCATGCGTATCACTTCTTGATAGGTACTGTAGGCGATTTCGTCGCGACTAATACGAGCAAAGATCCACTCTTCAATAGCAGGCTGAAGGCTGGAAAAGTATCGTTCCACAGCCACGACAAGGTTTGCCGTATCGTACACGGCGTATGCGGGCTGTTCGACAGTAGGCACTTGTCCCTCTCTGTTGGACCAAACAGACGTGGCAACGTCGAGTGGACCGCGCTTTGGGCTATAAGGGCGAAAGGCGATGCGCAACGGCTGCGCATTGGGTATGGGACCGTAGCCGGGCAGGTTCCAGATGATTTCCATTTCGTACAGTTGGCTGTTGTATACCCAGTCGTAGCCAAGGAACTCGGCCTCTTCCTGGTGCTCACGGCCATTGCCTAGCACACAGTCAGCAGTTTATCATGTCTGGCTAGCCACAGAAACATACAGCGACGGATGAGGCTCGTATCTTCGAGGTGTTCTCGGTAGCACGGCTCACGAAAGGACCTGGCGTGACCGGTGATTTTTTCGCATTTCTCACACGGATCGCCCTCGTCACACTAGAAATTTTTGGTTAGTCTTGAAAAAGTGCACATGAAAAAGACGCACACGTACACCAGACTTGTAGAATCTGCAACGAACGCAAATGCGCTTGGTCTTGCGCATGGTGTGCGTCTTCTCCCTCTGTCTTTCTTGAAGTGGGCCTTTACGCTTAGACACCTTGAGTTTCTCCTGGCGCTCGACAAAGGATGAAGGTACCTTGGCAGCCTTCTTCTTGGGTGGTGGTCTATGGCGCGCCAGCATCTGCGCGGCGGTCCGATCCATATGCTCCACAGGGGCATGGTGTTGGGCGTAGAGCTGATGCTCCGCGGGTGCTTCTGCGACAGGCCATTCCTGCGCTATGTTGGAAGATCTGTCATAGACGGCAGAGGCACTTTGCGGTTCGGCTGACTCAACCATAGGCCATGGGGCAGTAGAAGCAGTGCTGTCATGTCTCGTCACTGGCAGGCTGGCTGCAATGGGGTCACTGGTGTGGTCCGGATACTGGCCATGGTGCGCCCAGGCGGCAGCGGCAGCGGCAGCAGCATGGTGCAAAGGGGGTTGCTGTTCATGGCTTGTGTGCAGCAAGATGGCCTGGGGGAGCGAATGCGATGGCAGTGGAACTGGGGGCGGCTTTTGGGCATGATTCGAGTATGGTGGGTCTGCTGTGGTGGCGGGGGTCTCCTAGACATTCTCAGCTACGACTACAAAACACAACAGACGTGGTGTGCACTTACTGGAGAGATGCGCAATGGATGGAAATGGTCATGGGCAGCCAGCGGCAGGGTAGAAGTCGGGGTTAGGTCAGGCTGGTGTTGGTGATGGTGGTGGTGCTGGTAGTGGCGGGAGACGGCAGGCAGCTGGTGGTGCGGGAGCGGCGCGCTCCCATCGCCATGGCAGTACGAGACGGAGGAACGGTCCGTACACGACTCGTCGGGCTGGTGCTGGTGTTGCTGCCACTCATGGGCTGCCTGTGGTCTGACATAGCCAGTCGCCCACGCTGACGGGGCCTGTAGGCTAGCGGAGTCGACTCCGGGCTGTGGGTAGTGGAGAAATGCGGCCGGTGATGGGCCGACTGGGTACGAGTCGTGGGCAGCAGCAGCAGCAGTTGCGGCGGCGGCGGCGGCGACAGCGGCGGCGTCGTGTTGCCAGGTAGCCAGTCCCCCCAGGGCATCGTGGGCGGCGCCGGGATAGTCGTGGAAGTGTGAGGGGGTTTGGGCGGCACTCCTGTACTGCGGGCTGGTGGCCGACATGGAGGGCTTGGGCGGGAGAGAGAGCGTGGCGGCTTCAGCTTCAGCGTCAGGAGAGGTGTTGCTCGCTCGCCTGGCAGTGCTGGGTGGAATGCGTCGAGCAGAGCAGGGCGGCCGCCGGAGCCATAAAAACGGAGCTTACGCGGTAGATCGTCGCTCGCAAAAGGCGACGGCAGCAAAGGCTTAAAGGAGTCTCCCACGGCGGCAGGCCGAGAACCTTGGGACCGCACGGCTGCTGGGTGTCAGTGCCATGCATGCATACTTTAGTTGCCGTTAGGGCTGCATCTCCCCGCAAACCCGCTGGGTCTAGGGGACTGCCCAAGCACTGCCTCCGAGGAGCCTTGTCCAAGACTTGCCCCGACGCCGCTGCTACTTCGGTGCCTGGTGATGATTATCGTTGTTGGTGATGGTGGTGGTGGTGGTGTTGTTGTTATGGTTGTTTCCGAGCGTTGACATGGCCGTATTTCCCATGTGCCAAAAAAAACGAGCCTCGCCAAGCCCCATCATCACCACTCTCCCCCTCCCCCTCCCCCTCCCACTACCTCCACCCGCCCATGTGCCTCGACCCCAACAACTCACCCCGGCCTTGCATTTGGAATCTTTCGTCCAGTCAGTCCTACGCGTGACGGCCACGGAGAAGGGCGCAAAAGGATCCCCTATCATGTTCCGTTGTGTATCCACCCTGCCTCATCGTGCAGCCGTAGTCTCAAAGCCTGATTCCAGGAACGCCTCTTTTTTTACGTCACACGCTGGGTAAGACTCTGACTCTGCTATGCCCGCAATATACCACCACCGTCACCATACCGAACAAAAGGGGGGCCCTGGGTCCCTTGGGTAGTCGTACTATTTCAACTGCCAAACATCTCTCGAGGCCAGTCATGTGAGTGTCGAGCTGACAAAATGATGTCACACCCGTCTGAGATGGTGCAAGCCCTGCGCCCAAATATCTCCCGAGGCTACGGCAATGACGAGCATCGTAAGCTCCTCAACATCGGTGTGGGACATGCTTGGCGATCTGCAGCCCCGTTGGAATCTAGCCGGCTCAGGGCACAGAAACACGTGGTAGTAGTCTGCTCTTCGAATTTGGTCCATCCCATCTTTCATACATGATCGGTACCGAGGTTTACATCAGACTGCCGTTCCATGCAGGGCAGACGTAAGCATAGCCTTACTTGGAACCCTGAACCAAAAAACAAACAACTGGACCTTGCGTGTGTATACACTTGGTGAACTACTGTATCGGCATGTACTAGGATACTGAGCATCCAAAACGTGTTAGTGGGAATAAGGAAATTGCGTGTAGGATATTCCCCTGTGCCTACACCATAATGAAAATTGTGATGTGAGGGAACGGTACCCGACCTAGTACCTTTCTTGTTTTGGATCGTCTTACCGAAAGAGCTTTTCACTGGTAAAGGTTGAGAAATATGGAGGCTGTGCAAAGAGGGTATATGGTCTCATTATACTATCCAAGGAAACATTACACAGCCAAAGCTAATGGCTCTTAAATATTGTGAAAATGACATGAAAACAAAAACCATTCATCTATCAGAGTGTCCATCAAGATTTGGTCTTCTTCGCCTTGGGCTTTGCCGTCTTCTTTGCTTCCTCTTTTTCACTCTGGTCACCATCGTCATTATCATCGTACGTCTTCCTCTTCCCACCCGCCACTCTCGCCGATCTTCTCGTTCCCTCTGTCCTCCCTTTCCCCTTTCCCTTCAACACTTTCGTGTCCTCTTTCTCTGCCCCAACACTCTTTGACTCTTTCTTTGCGCTCCCAGTCTTCTTCGCCCCAGTATTAGCCTTTGCCTTTGGTTTTGGCGTGCTGGGAGGTGCATCCTCCTTATCCTCCTTGCTCTCTTCATCTCGGGTGGACTCTTTCTCTTTCTCTTTCTCTTCACTCCCTTCGTCTTTCTTGTCATCCTTTTCTTTCTCTTCAGCCTTTTTCTTTGCTGGAGATTTCTCTTGCGGCACACCCTTTTTAGGCTCGTTCTTGCTTCCAGCTTCGTTCTCGTATCCACCTCCTTTCTTCTCATACTCTTTTGCTAATTTACTGGCCTATCATTCATATTAGTACTCGAATAAATACCATCAAAGTGAAAAGACAAGAAACAAGTGAGAAAAAAAACACCAACCTTCCACGCACTCCACTCTCCCTTCCCCCCACCATCCTTATTCGTCTCCTGCTTAACTTCCTCCTTGACCTTCTCCCTCAACTTGGGATCTGTCGGTTTTCCCTTCGAAGACGGCCTACCCACACTGTCAGTACAAGAAAACAAAGAAAACAATCTCCCTCCCATCCTCGCACAAAAACGCATACTCCCGCTCCATGGCAGCGTCATTGTACCACCACCCCGCCAACCTTCTCCCTCACACCCAAACTCACATACATTTTCTTGTCATCAGCTTCCAAACCCCCTTCCGTCTCCGTCCTCTACTATTCTCCTGAAACCACCGTTTTCTTTTCTTAATATGATCGCGCGACGCGTTCGCAAGTTATCTCCGCGTGCGAACAATTTATCAAAAGTTCCCAGAAACCAAGTCAAAAAAATTATTCACAAGATCACTCTACTTCCGCCGGGACACACACATACACCCACCCTCTTATTCTAATACTCACCCAGCGTGCACGTCCGCCCCTTCCCCTTTCCAGCCATCTCGCGAAACTCTAACCCTGCCTATGACACACCTCTCTCTCACACACACACATGCTTTCACCCAGAAAACACACCCAAAAATAAAATTAGAAAACAAAAAAACAAGGTCCTGCAACTGCTTCCCCGGGACGCACGGTGGGAAAAACTATGACATCACGACTTTACTTAGGTTTTAGCGGGGGATGTACTGCGTCCTCGGAGACTAACAGGCTAGCGGGGGGAGGCTGGGGTGCATTGGCGTTGGCGTCTAGGGAGGGGAGGTTGTGTGGCGTGAGTAGCGTGGGTGGATTAAATTCCGGGGAAGAAGGTACAACAAGATGGGTTGGTGAGGAGAGGGGGAAGGAGAGGGGGAAGGAGAGGGGGGGGGATGGGAGGATATGATAGTTTTGTCATGTTGGCGAGGAAAGAAAAAAAGACTGTACTACCTAGGTGCGAAAGTAAAACAGTTTCGCTAGTACTAGGAAGGTTTTGTTATGTTTGCTTATTCCGTATACAAACCACACACTAACACACCCAACCTCCCATAGAGAAACTTGGAACAACAAAAGAATATGAATGCTACCAACCCCCCGCCCAAGCCACATCTCTCTATCTCTCATCACTATCACTCACTTTCCTAATAGTTCCATACCTCTTCCCCCCATTCCCCCCATTCCTAGTCTCATCTCGCAAACTCCTTTCCATCTTCTCCTCTTCGCGCTTAAACCTCTTCTCCGCATCCTGGATAATACTCACAGCCTCATCCATGATATCACTGCCCACGCGCCAGGACCTCAGCACCACGCCTTGCTCACCCAGCACGTGCTCCGCATGAGCCCATCGCTGGCGCCAGAGGATTTCCTTCTTAGTCCCGTATTGCTGCTGGTCGCCGCTGGGCCCCGCAAGTGTACTTCCGGTGCTAGTGCGATTGATACCCTGACGTGGGGTCGCCGTGGAAAAGGGTTGAGAGGTTTGCGATGAGGTAATTTGCGGGCGTGCGTGGTACGGCATGGAGGGTGCGTGTTGCCATGCTGAAGAAGCTTTGGAGCCCACGTATGATGCGGCGTTTGCAGCTGTCTCGCGGTTTCCACGTCGGGGTGGAGGAGGTGGTGGGCCCTTTCGAACACCGCTGACTTCTAGAGTTGATGTATTTGAGCTAGGCGCTTCTGTCGATCTCAATGCAGGTAGGTTATTGTAGACGGACCATAGCTTGTCGCGAGCCATACCGGCATATGTTTGCTGGTCTTCTGGTGCTTGGCTCTGATGGGTCATGGTTGGCTTGGGACCTACTGGAGGTTTTGGAGGCCCTGATGTGTTTACACTTCTAGGGGAATCTTGTTGCTGTGCGAGTGGGCTTGATGTGTTGACGGCTGTTGAGGACACCCGGGGCTTTGGTGGCGGTGGTTTTGCGCCAGAGGGAGGTGGTTTAAATGGTGCGGATTCACTCGCAGGACTTCTCAATGCCACAGGTTTTTTAGGAGGTGGGGGCGCTGATTTCATTGCATTCGACTCAACTGAGGAAGAATGTCTCTCATTGTCGGCTCTGGTTTCCGAGTTGAATCTTCTCAGTGCAGGCGACTCGTCTGCATCGTCATCCGACGACAGATCTATCAGGTTTGGTGCCGATCTTTGCGAGGAGGGTTTCCTTTGCGCCAACTTTGGCCGTCTATCGCGATCCAGCTCTGGAAAGATTGAACGGGGACGTTTGTCATTCTCCGCATCCATATCGCGTAGTGACGCTGCAATTGCCGCCTTGAGTTCGGGATCGTGTTCTTCGGAAAATGATCGAGCCTTACTTGAGGCGGCCGAGCTGTCTCCACCGGCAGCCTGCGCTGGTGGAGGAGATGTAGAGTGATTCCCTGAAGAAGGGCCCATCGAGGGGTCAAAGAATCCTGGGCCGTCCGTTGTAGTAACGTCACGAATGAACACTGCAACCACTCTTCCTGAGTTCTCGAGGACAAAATCAGTGTATACCTCGAGATCAGCCTCGCCACTGTCTCCGATCAAAATAAAATTGCGCTCTGGAAAGTCCCTAGCAATCTTATCAAGCGTAACCTTCTTCCTTTCTGCAACAGGCTCGAAAATTCCCTGCAGCATACCACTATACTGTTTCAAATGGAACGAGCCTGGTGGGAGTCCAGCCAACGAAAAGTATTTGGAAATGACCGGATACAGCTGCCAGGGTGAGTTGGAGACGTAGTGAAATTTCACTCCCATTTCCGCCATCTTGTTGTACCACTCTCGGACGCCATCAATAGTGAGATCAAGGAGGTCGCGAATGAAGACATTGCGGAAGATTTCGCGGGCTCCACTACCAATAGCAGAGTGCTTGATTGTGTCATCAATGTCGCTTATTACACTGATACC